AATTCAACTACTTTGATTACATATATAAGGTAACATATAATAACAGAATAATCTAACAACACACACACTATGTGACACCAGCACCTGAAAACAGTCTGCCCTCTCTGAAGAAGAAAACTCTCCCAGATGATTTATTCCACAGCTGCCTACAACTCTTGATTTAAACATGATCACATCCCTGGAGAGTGTCTTTAAGGGAACTCTGTTGACCACTTATGATGGTCCACACCCTCTGAGCTGGCCGTAGCCATCAACATGCCCAAATAGCAGCCACAGGGACGTTGATGTCACGCAGGGAGCCCATGCGTGCTTAGGGCTGGTGAACAAGCTTCACTTAATGGTTATGTTTTTGAATCTTTCCAACAATGTGCTGCAGATTTATTGGTTCAAACAGAAACTTCTTCAAACAATGCTCCTGATTTAAACTTCTCCTAAAGTCCAGCTGTATATGGCAATACTTGTGTGCCAATGTCTCATATGATACTGATTTATGATATCAGTGTATGCATTAAGCTGTGTTTTTATGGTTTTGTCAGTTCAATTTATCATCTCTATTAAATGTTTTTGTTATTATATATTAAGATGGACACATTTAGTGTTCATGAAAGCTTTTCACATGTTACTTTTATTCCACTCAGCTCCTCAGTTTTTTTCCTTTGCTTCCCATCCCTTTTCATAACCGAGCTTATTTGAAAAGATCATGGCTAAACTGGTGGTTTCTTCTATCATATGCCTGACTAATCCTTACAGTTACTGATGGTTAAACTGCATTAGTTTGTGGCCACATCAGGAATGTGTCCTCTAAAGCGCACTGCAGAAGGATGAAGATGCCTTTACCAACCTGCCATAACCTCTAAGTAGCTCATAAACATGGTTTCTGGGGTTCCAGATGGATTCAAAACACAGACAGCTGTGTTGCCAGAATAAACATATCGACCAGGATCATGTTTTCTAAAAAACATGTCAGCCCCCACATGCCATACAGCATTTGTTTTATGGGGGGGTGCCCCCCATAAAACAAATGCTGTATGTAGGGAGGCTACGAGGAGGATAAAAGTCCTCAGAAACCTTGTTAGGTCCCGGTCTTTATGTGGTGGTCAAGCAAGTGCCTGGTGACTCACTCAGCTGCTCTGCGCCACACCCAGGAAACCGAAATCCACTTAAATCATTTCAGGATTTTCTAATCGAGCATTCCCATGTGTGCACCTGATGCTGTGCTGCTGTGACAGATGCTTACTTCTTTAGCTGATAGCTTAACATTAACGCTAAACCGATACATCATGAAACTGACTGTACCACATTTGCAGCAGCACTCTACTATAATCAGTGATTATGGAGAGTCGCCCTGTGTGCAACATGCTTTACAGTTTCAACCCACAGAGAGGAGTGTGGCGGCGTATTTTGCTCTTTGTGATTTATTGTTGCCTGACTTTAAGTGCTCGGTTTGCTTCTTAACTACTAAGACATCCCTGAGCATGAAACTTGGATGCCTATTCATTGTAAAGCCATTTTGAATCAGGGCTTGTAACTGCAAATGCTGTGACGGCATGTGAGGCTGCTAGATGTGTCACACACTGCATAAAATTCCTGCGTGACATCTTGATTTACGGTCTTACATACTAAAGTTTGAATTACACACAAGTGGGCTTTTCAAAGCCAAATACTTTGGACACACTTGTTTTAGCACATTGCCTGTCACTTTACTGCTAGGTAAGGTCTAAAAGAGAACTCGTATGCCTGGGAAAATATTAAGCACAAGGCAGACACGTGTTCTCTTTATAGAAACTTCAAATGACGCACAAACAGACATGTATGTACACACCACACATCATGTAGATGACTTTACTGAAATTAACCAGCTGGCATGAATCTTTTCTGTTCATTCAGATGCCATTGTGTCCTTAATCCAGGAAACATAATTGCAAACTTTTGTGTACACCCCAGGCTTGTTCCTCTGTGCACAGCCGTGCCCCCATGACACAACTCCCTGGAGCTCTCCGTCGCACATCAATGGGCCCCCTGAGTCACCCTGGAGTTAAAATAAATGATTTTTCAGTGGTTCAACCTTTTTATCACAGCGCATAAACATTTCCTGTTTTGATCTTACCTGGCAGGAGTCCTTCCCTCCCTCCAGATATCCAGCACAGATCATGTTTTCAGTAATTTGGAAAGGATATGCGTTAAAGCAGGTGTCATCACTCAGGAGAGGGACCTCCAGGCACTGCAGCTTATCTGGGTATCTTGCTGCAAAGACACAAACAGATCAATATCTTTAAAAATACCTGAGTTGACTGCCTGTTCAAGCAACACAGATAGGCCGTATAGCATAGTTTAACTTACAGCCCTCATCGCTGGGACGAAGATTCCCCCATCCTGAGACCTGGCACACTGTCCCCTCACTGGCACACCTTGAAGGAAGCACAGCAGGACACACGTAGCTGCTCAGAGCTGCAGGTTGACTCAGTTTGATCAGCATGATGTCGCTGTCCTGTGTACGGGAATCGTAGTCAGGGTGGCGAATAAACTCAGCAGACATGATGTGCTGTTCAGTCCCATCAGGTTCCCAGATGTTGTGCTCCCCCAGACGAATTTCTAGATTTGAGCTGAAAGAACAAAGCCCACTTTGAGAGTTTCTTACACCCGACTTCATTTTAAAGTTTAAAGCTGCTTGGATTCAGGCTTGATGGGAATTGTGTGCCTTACTTTGGTTTGCAGTGTGCAGCAGAGAGCACCCACTCATCAGAGATAAGAACCCCCCCACAGAAGTTGTACCCAGTGAAGAGTGACACTTGGTAGGGCACAGAGTTCTTGGGGCACTCATATCCTCCAACAATCTTGTTATCTCCTTCCAGCGCAACTGTAGAGTAAAAAAATACAAATAAATAAGTGGCAAAATCAGAAAATTATTTTATCAGTGAATCGGCATCCTATCCTTAACACTTGAGTGTTCGTCATTTGAATCTATAAATTAGATTTTATACCTGCCCCTCCAGAGAGAATCAGGAGAAGGAAAAGCTTCATGCCTTCTGTTTTTCTCACTGGCAGATCAATGTACCCTAATTCTCCTGGTTTCAGGTATTTCAGTCCCTCTTATCTGTCTTTTCTCAGGGCCACCAGAGGCACGCCTCAGACACTAAACAGGTGTTACATTTCCCCAGTGATACTGTGCTTGAAGTACACTATATAGGAGAAACAAAACAGCAGTTCAATACAAGTTAGAACATAGCTTGGATTAGGAAACAATGTGAGTGCTACACTTTACAGTGTGCATTCTTGTTTATTTCCTTTGTGCTGCATTACGTGAGCATGTTTAAAGCTCACTTTTGCCTAAATACATTTTCTTCACAGAACAGTCATGTGACATTATACTTTTTATTGCAGGTTTATCATAAATTGAATACATGGCATGCACTGCCTTCAAGTGACCCACAGAGTGACGTCAATGGAAGTTATGACTGTGCATGTGGGTGAAGCTCATGTGGTTACAGATGCTCACGTACCATTTTTCAGCACAAAGACAGCAAAAAATGCATTTAAAGAGAACTAAGGTGGCAATATTCAACCTATAAATGTTAGCCTTTTTCATTTAAGGTAGAATA